TCCACAACTTGCCCTTGTAAAGACACACACACACACACCACAAACACACAATTTCACCAACAATAAAGCACTCACCAATCAGTAGACGAGTCATCTCTGCCTTAGTCCTGAGCCTGGCCACCTCCAAAGCTGTCTTGCCTGTAAAAGGTCAACTGTGATCAAGTCCTGGAAAATGCTAGCTTCATAGTTACCACATGACTGACATGGTGTATCACGACAGCGCCAGCACACGTTAAATGAAGTTGTAAGATTATGTGTTCAGAAAAGGGTTGCAACATAGTACTGGATAAAAGTTACTTTTTATTAATGAAAGGGAACCAATGGATCTGTAATTGTTTAAAACCACTCTCATAATGATGAAAAACTATACAGTTTTGTTAAAAAAAAAACCTGCTGCTGCTTCCCTCATTTAATTTGGGTACTAATGGTCTTCATCTTTAAAATTCCTTAAATAATTAGTCCCAATAGATTTTCAGATATGGTTCTTTACTACCACTTCAGGGGCCGCATACTCAAAACGCCTCATCAGTTATGTACAGTAGCAGAGATACGGTACCGTAACTTACAGACTCCTTACAGTCCCGTAAAATTCTCATAATCAAAATTTAATTACGGGTCCGTAAGCAGTCTCTAACTCTAGTGTTTACACGATAGATTCAGTTCTCTTGTCCGAAGGTAGATGGCAGTGCAAGAGCTAGTTGGCCAATCGTCGTTCTGTTAAAAAATCCTCGACCAATCAGAGGAGAAGGATAAATCAGCCGAGATCGACGCAAGTAATAATAGTTTGTAAACAAAAGATGGAAGGACCTACTGCAAAGAATAGGCGACCAAATTTCAGCAGCCGTAGAGTCTTTTGACCTGTGTACATTTTATTAGGTACTGTATTCGGCGTCTTACCCCTAATAGAATTTGGGTTGCTAACCCCTGACTTAATGTTGGTCTATGACATGACACATAAGCTAGACTAAGGATATTTGAGAGGTAAGAAACAAGTTTTCTTCTATATAATTCTTTCCTAAAGTGATTCCTTCTAACAAGACACTGTTGTAAACTATCACTGAAGAGGGTAAAAGTGAAGGAGATTGTTAGCACCAGAAATAACTTATGGAAGTGAACCCAAACTTCTGGAAATACTACTTGCATGATACTGAACTTGAAAATGGAAGCGAGAATGCACAAAACCTAATAGAACCTGACCTAACCTACCTAACTTCCTAACCTGCGCATTGTCATTTTAATCTTACTTACTATCATCCAAACAACATCTAGAAAAATAAAAAAATTCAATCCAATATAAATCGCATTAAAGACGCCTGATGACATTGTCGTTCATTTCTTGATATGAAAACAAAGACCATGGACGCTCCCATATAACTGATGATGTGAACCAAAAATGGACATAGACGTAAAATTTCTGCCACATGATCAGTGTTAGCAGTGTTTTTACCTGGTTATTTCCCTCTTCTTTCACGCCCTGCCCACGAACAAGTAACTTATGATCAAAGGATAGACAAAACAAGAGAAAAAAATACTAAAATGTTGTCACTTTGATTTAATTACTCAACATCATCCAAACAACATCTGAAAATTTGGTGCAATCCAATCCATAAGTTCTTCTGGTGTTAACAGTCTCCTCCGCCTTTACCCTGAAGAGGAAACAACCTTAAGCTCATCTACTTTTCTTTTATCCTCTTCACCACTGATCGGCTCGTTTGCCGCTTGGGCGATCGGTCACGTCTCTAATTACTTTTCCTTTTCTTTTATCCTCTTCACCAAAAGATCCTCTCGTTAGCCACTTGGGCGATCGGTCACGTCTCTGTTACGCACTGTTGGCAAGTACTGGGCATGCACCGGCTCCTGAATGTACCTGAACCCGCTCCAGTGTTGGTCAAGTCTTGTCGTGAAAGAGCTCACACTCGGTGCCGTCACAACACTTTCTGGTAGATTGTTCCAAGAGTTCACAACTTTCTCTCCGAAAAAGTTTGCCCTCACAGTTTTCTAGACTTGCGGCTTCTTCAATTTTGAGCTGTGACCCCTTGTGTGGCGAGCGTCCTCCAGCTCCAAGTAAGGACACTCGACTGAGTAGTGCCCCTTGAGATGCTTATACACCTCTATTAGGTCACCCCTTGCCCGTCTGTAGTATAAGCTAGGCAATCTCTCAGGGTAGCTCAGGTGCCAAGGGGCAGGCACCAGTCTGGTGGCCCTCCTTTGAACATTTTCAACCCTAGCATATTTCGGGGACCAGACGGGGTAACAGTACTCCAGATGGGGAAGCACTTCACTCTTGAAGATCGTTACGAGGGACAGTCCGTCTACTGTAGATATCTGAACGACCTTCTTATGAGACCCAATAATTTATTTGCCTGATTTACCTTCTTCTCGCAATGGCCCGAGAACTTCAGCTCGTTGTCAACATACACACCTAGGTCCTTCTCACATCCTCTTCACTTCGTGACATTGCATCTCAGCAGCCATTTCTTCGACCATTCTTAAAGCCCACAGAGGTCCTTCTGCAGCTCTTCACAGTCCGCTTGGTTTTTATTTCCCGAAATAACTTGGCGTCATCGGCAAACATTTGTATGGTGGAGTGTACAATGTCAGGCATGTCATTTATGAAACAAACAAACAACAGTGGGCCCAATACACTGCCCTGTGGTACCCCTCTTGTGACAGGTACGGATGATGATTTCGTGCCATTAATCACCACACACTGCTTGCGGTCATGTAGAAAGTCTCCTATCCACGCTAGGACATTTCCCCGAATTCCGTACCCTTCCAGTTTGATTTTCAGTCGAAAGCTTTGGCAAAATCTAGGTAAATATTGTCGATATTACCACCCCGTTCCAGAATATGGGTCCAAATATCCAATACCTTGAGCAATTGTGTTAAGCAGGAGCCCCCCGGTATAAAACCGTGTTGGCAATCCTTTACAAGGTTGTTTCGTAGCAGATGTTCCATTGCGGCATCTCTGATAATACTCTCAAGTACTTTACATATTATGCTGGTCAGGCTCACCGGTCTATAGTTGTTCGTGGAGTGACGATCGCCCTTCTTGAAGATAGGACTCACATCAGCCACTTTCCATTCACTGGAGACCTTTTGTTCATCCAGGCATTTACAAAACAGGATCTTCAAGGGCTCGGCAAGCTCGTTGCACAACTCTGTTAGCACTCTGGGATGCACCATGTTAGGGCTGGGACTCTTATGGACCTTTAGCCTGGACAATTTATTTCTAATACCCTTTTCTGTGAACACAATGTGGGTCAGTGCTGTGTCGAACAGTCTGTCCTCAAAAGCAGGAAGGTTAATTGCATCCTCATCTAGGTGTCATGTAGGATGAATACTACAATAGAAGCAGGGAACAATCGGAAGAAACGGAGTGGGTAAGTGTAAACCCAACAGCCTACTCCTCCTCAGCTAGTGTGCTGAACACAACCTCACTATCACCAACACCTTCTTTAGACGGGCCGATAAGTTCAAGGGTTCTTGGCAACACCCACAATCCAAACATTGCCATCTCATTGAATACATCATTGTCAGAGAAAGAGATTGCTGCGATGTCCTCACCACCAGGTAAACCATGTGTGGCTCAGACCGCTGTGACACAGATGACATAGATCACCGTCTCGTCAAAGCTAAACTCCCCTTTTACATAGCCTCAAAACAACGAAGGCAACCAGCCTCCAGAAGAGGTTTTAAAACCAAGTGACTATAGGATCAAGTAGTAGCATGCATGTTTTCAGAAAGAAGCTTCATGGTGAGCTGATAAACAGCCCAACAACAAACAACCTAAATCTGGCCATGTTACCCTCATGGAAGACAGTAGACTGCCAAGCAGCTACTTTGCAGTCACCTAACGATAGTAAACGTAACGCCGTCGGACAATTGAAAAAGTTTAAGGATAGTCTTAAGATAAACCTGAAAAGGTGCCAAATCGATCCTCCTCACCTGGGAGATGATCACTCCACACCGTAATGCTTGGAGAAGCACCACAAGAAAAGGTATCAATACTTTAGTGTTAACCCGACTGCATACCGAGGTAGACGAGCGCCAACGCCGGAAAGACATTGCCGCCGCTCTTTCCACACTATATGTAACCCTCCACACGTGGTTCAACATCTGTGGACGGCCCTGCCGGTCCCGTATCGGCCTCTCGAGTCACATCAAAGCTCACCAACAAAGGCGACATCTTTAATAACTCATGTCATTGTATTATAGCTGGATGATCGTCATACTCAATTCTGAGTAACACCAAAGTAGTAGTAAGTAGTAGTAATGTTAGAGGATATTATGCAGGTTCAGAGCTGTTACCATACTACACTATATTTGAAACCTTTATATACGGGAGACAACAATATTGTGTCTATGGGACCAAAAATCACAAACGTCATGTCAGATGTAAAACTGAACCTTTTAAGGTAACCTCTGTTACAAAGATTCACCCGAATATGGGTGAAAAGTGTACAGTATACATTGTTTATGGATTAGCTTAACCCTTTGACGACTATTGTTTAAAACTTTAACCCTTTTGACGATGATTTTTTAACCTTTTGATGACAAAAATTTAATCTTCTGACGACTCTGGTTTAAATTTTAACCCTTTGACCATGATGATTTAATCCTTTATTGATTGTGATGATTTAGCCCTTCGGGTCTCAAAGGGTTAAAGCTTAACAGGTGAGATGGCCCTAAATCCACTTTTAACATCTCGTACACAGAAAGGCTCCAAAATTAGTATCACGCCGATTTGAACACCTGAATTGGTCCAACAAGATACAACTTTTGCAACGGTAACTAAAATAGATTTCTATATTGCAAGTGATGAGCTTGAAACACTCCTAAGACTTAACAGATTAACTGAAATGAGACCTAGATACCGATTTCACTTCATAAGGTGAAATCCATGTATTTCACAACTTGGACTCTCAGAAAACTTGTGACAGAATCTCAGATGATTGGAATATTTAAGACTTTTTGTTGACTAATCAGTAAGCAGAATGTCAGCTGACTAACAAGTGGAAACTCTTAGCTGATAAATAAATTTAAAACCATTTCAGTGACTACTATGTCACTGTTAGATGACTAGCATGTTACACTCTCAATTTACAAGCATGCTAAGACTTTCAGTTGACTAATGAGTTTACATAGTGCTGGTTAACTACTAGGAACAGACTCTCATACAAGAAAAAAGAACGCAGAATATCAACTCACCAGATCTGTCGGTGGAGGTCAGGTCAGGGCAGGACTCCAAAAGTTGGGCTACAGCCTTTATGTGACCTTTCCTTGAGGCCCAGTGTAGTGCTGTTCTTCCTGTTTGATCCCAGAATATAATACTGTAATAATTATACTGTGATATCCTTTGACATTTCCAAAGCATCTGATAACATTTAATATCATTCATTAATTGCAAAAATGCTCTTCTGTGGCATTTTCTCCCTATTCCCTTTATTTTTTTTAATCATTCGTAAGGTACAGATAGTTCTGAATATCGTTATCAATTATGGGGTTCCTCCGTGTTCTATGCTACAATCAACTCTTTTTTTATAATAAATATAACCTACACATACTGTATATGATCTGTCATCGGTATACACCCTAGTTCATTCTTAGGCAGACCATTTAGCTCTCCATAGATCTTTAATTTTCACTGTCCCACTCAAACAAAATAAAGAATAACACTACTACTTATAATACTAATATTAATAATAACAATAATAAAATTAGTGTCTCACTCAAATAACAGGGTATAGTGCCATTCTGGTGCTACAATCTCTTCAAATATCTTCTATCTCCAGATGAATACAAAGAAACCTAATAGAATGCAAATTAAATTTTATATATATATATATATATATATATATATATATATATATATATATATATATATATATATATATATATATATATATATATATATATATATATATATATATATATATATATATATATATATATATATATATATATATATATATATAGTTTCTTTATGCCGTCTTTGGCACAGGGTGCTAATAAACACTAAAAATAATACTGAAATAATCTACTGTAGTTGTAGGCCTTACTGTTCTTGTCCCGGATGTTGACGTCGGCACCAGACTGCAGTAGAACGGAAATGACTTCATCATGACCCCGCCTACTGGCCCAAATCAAAGCTGTGGTGCCTGAGGTATCAGTTATGAGTATGATCTAATTAATGATAATAACAATAATGATACTACTACTACTACTACTACTACTACTACTACTACTAATAATAATAATAATAATAATAATAATAATGATGATGATAAACAAACTAAGCAGTATTTGTCGGATTCATCAATTAGTAAATTGAGGAACTCCTTACCTGTTTCATCCTGAAGGTCGAGATTCGCTCCAGCATTTACAAGAATCTCTACCATTTCGCGTTCCCCGTACACTGCCGCCGTCATAAGGGGAGTTTGACCTACAGTATATTGGTGGTAGAGGTGAGGGTTATGAACGACATTAGTGGTATGGTGGTGGTTGTCGTTGTATTGCTGGTAATTACTATGGTTGTAGTAGTAGTTATATCATTTAATTGACCAGGAAGGTAAATTTCAGGAATATGTGTAAACAAAGAAGAGATTAGCATTGGTCCTTTGACAGACAAAAGTACTGACGTACCGTGTGTGTTAGGTAGGTCAGGCAGGGCACCATATTGCAGCAGCTTTTCACTCACGTTCTGTTGACCCCATACAGCTGCTGCCTGTAGTGCTGTTACCCCTGTACACAAGTACACACTTTGGTTAGTACACATACACGCACACTACTGTATATATATATATATATATATATATATATATATATATATATATATATATATATATATATATATATATATATTGATAAAATCACACGAAAAGAAACAACGTGTGATTTTTTAAGATTTATCTTATCCACGTTTTCATTGTGATCTACATGATATATATATATATATATATATATATATATATATATATATATATATATATATATATATATATATATATATATATATATATATATATATATATATTGCAAGATCGTGAAAATAGCTGTGAAGATGTGAGACAGATGAAGTGTTAGACTGAAAAAATCACAGTGTAGAGGTGATCATTACAGTTATGAAGAATGTTTGGAAATACAGAATAAAATGAAGGTTTTGAATTGGGAAGAGGTGGAGGGATGGGTGTTGTTAAGTGGAGGAAGTGAGTGAAGCTGCGAGGTGGTAGGAGGTGAAGAGGGACTTACCCCAGGAGGTCTGGAGATTGGTCTCAGCTCCTGCCTCCAGCAAAACAACGACCATTTGTGTATCCTCCTGAGTGGTGGCCAGGTACAGCGGGAAGTACTCTGTAAACCACCACCATATGACTACTGTGACCACCATGATGATCTCTCTCTCTCCCTCTCTAAGAAGTAGAATTACACCTTTTCTCTATCTCTTTCTCACTTTTCTCTCACTCACTTTCACTTTTTTCTCACTCACTCTTTTAGAAATAAACCACACTCTTCTCTGCCAGTGTTGTAGGAGAAACTACATCCCAGATTCTTGAATGTTCTCGACAACAACACAATTACAGTACATATGACGTCAGTCCTCTGTACACTAAAAGTTAAAATGACCTCACCTCTAGAACTAGGATTATTTAACACTACAGGTATCAGATATGTTACACTAGGACTAGATATACTGTAAGGGCTTAGAGGGGTAGAGCCACACAAAGGGTTAAAGATATACTAATCGGTGAAAATAACTTACACTATGAGTTGGGGGACACCTTACAACGTATAATGAACTTAAGTGAATTAGAAGAGGTTGGGGACTCACTGCTGGTAGGGGTCTGATAGTTAGGGTTGGCCTTGAAGTGGAGCAACGCCTTGACCACGTCCACATGCTTGTTCCATACCGCGTAGAGTAAGGCAGTGAACCCTATGAATACAGTAGGCGTGATGTTTGCGACGGGAATAAAGAATAAGAGAATAGGGATTTCCTGAAGATTAGACACTCCCAGCTTATTTCATCTGATGACTAAACACCTTAATGCTAACCTAACTAAATTCTCATATTTAGCTTTAGAGAGGAATAAATATGGGTTCCTAATCTTCATGAGATCCCAATAATAAATATATTGTATATATCTATGAAATATGAATATCTGTACACGTAAGTATGAGTACCTGTAGAGGCCTCACCTTGAGAAGTAGCAATATCCGGCTTGGCTCCTTTCTTCAGTAGCTTCTCTACCACCTCCAGGAAGCCGCTCTTAGCTGCCAGGTACAAAGCCGTGACGTCTGTGGGACATAATAGCTTTATTCTCTCTGTCTCTTTCCTGGCTACTGAAGCACCGCCGTACAGTACATTAAAACAGCATCTTAATATGTCATAAACGTACAGTACATTCTGAATATTAAATAAATCATATAAAACACAAGATAAAATGAAAATGAGAATGACGTCTCCCTTCACCAAATACTGTCACGTCTATGGTAGTTGACGTCAGGTAAATGTTTGCCAATTGCAGTACAGTGCACGTTTTCTCACTTGTGTCACCAGTAAACATAAACAAACAGGTTCTCACCAGCATAACTCTCGCGATTAACGTCGGCGCCTCTCATCAACAGTTCCTCCACCATCACAGTGTTGTTCCTGGAGGCGGCCCACATCAGAGCTGTGTAGCCGCGGTACCAGCCTACCAGTGGTCAAAGTCATACTGTATCCAAATTTAAAATCAAAGCCAGTGGTTTTTCTATATCGCTCAAATGTGTATATCTGTTCTTCAAAATAGTAAGTTGTCGATGTATTTCATTCAAGATACTTATTTATTTTACTAAATTTAGACAATATTTTACTGAGAATATACATCGTAATGATGTGATACTCGGAACAGGTAAAGATTATTGCCAAAAGAAGAACAAGGTTAAAATGATAGAGAGATTACCGGACTTCTCAGCATAGTTAATGTCAGCATTTCTCCCCTGGAGGATCTGTCTCATACGGCCCAGCTTCCCCTTCGTCGCCGCCGTCAGTAGCGCCATACCTACCGGAACATACCACTTACCATTATACCTCCAAACACCTGTAGCCACCCATACCTACATTCCGTCACACATGTATCCACATACATTTCTGTACCTACACACCTGTACCCACACACCTGTACCCACGCACCTGTACCCACATACATTAATTTTGTACACGCACATCTGCCAGTTACTTTACTTTATAATCTTCACCACTGATCGGCCTGTTAGCCGGACAGCTCCAGGTATGAACACCCGACTGAGTAATGTCCTCTGAGGTGTTTATAAGATCCTATTAAGTCATCCCTTCTCAACCTATATAGTATAAGCTAGGCAACTGCAGGCGTTCTAATCTCTCTGGGTACCTGAGGTGCCATAGTGCAGGCACTAGTCTGGAAGCCCTCCTTTTGACATTTTCAATCAACTGACAATCTCTGGCATATCTTGGTGACCAGACAGTACTCCAAACGGGAACGCATCTAATTTTTGAAGAGCGTTATGAGGGACGGACCATGAGATATACAGGCCATGCACCACTCAGCATCACTCTACAGCCAACAGTATTCTGTTCTACGGGAAATAAATGTTTCCTTAAATTCACTAATACTTAATCACAGGACGCTGGTGTAAGAATAGGTGTAATAAACTCTGTATACATGGTTATTAATATCTTGGTATTACACAAGACATGTCACAAGACTAATTATGGATTTAGTAGAAAGAGAGAGGTAAATAAAGTACCAAAATGCAATTACAATCATATTCTGACACAACAACACGAACTCCAAGTCTACTTACCAGGAGACTTGCGACAGAGGACGTAGTGGGGGCCAGACACCAACATCACCACTAGTAGTAGTAGAGCCACACTCGCCCTCATCCCTCCCTCACACTCCTGCAGGACGCTGAGGATCACTAGGGGTCCTGCAGTACTAACAGTGTTCAATAAGTCACAACTTAACATGATGAGACGTGTTGATAACCAATAAAAAAAATCATACTGAGACCTAATGACCCTCTAGATTTCACAAGTGACCTTGATTCTTTGATCCCAATAGTAAAATGTTTTTTTCACAACCCAAGGAAATTGTATCAGTGAAAGTTCGTGGCGCTTAGTAGGCAAACACTGCTTTATCCTGAGGAAATCATCTTTAAACTTCTTCCGCAAGAGCTAAAGATAACAACAGAAACAAATGAACTTACAATAACTAGACCACAAACTGAGCAGAATCAGAGGCACCAACAAACACAAGTCAGTAAACATAAGACAGGAGTCGTATCAAGGGTTCAAAGCTAATGCAATATGGATTCTAAGGTTCACAGATACACTATAAACATCTTTACACACACTTTTGAAAAACATCATCGTATATGAATTAAGCCCTTAACCCAGGAGACGGGAGCTCCACACACTCTCATCGACAACTTATCACTGGTCACCTGTGGTTGACGCCGCTAAATTACCGGAAACGGAAGCAGTTTGTTTTTTCCTTGTTTGAGGTGGGAGAGTTGTGACTGGTGTGGCAGTGGTGTGTGGTGCCAGAGACCCGGATAACGTGTCTGGCATAAGAGTCACTCCAGCGTGGAGGAAAGACGGGTGAATTTTCGTTTGGAGAAATTCCTAAACAATTGTACCTACAGGGATAAAGATATCATTTTGAGATGAAAGTAAAGCGAGTGAACGTTCGTCTAGCGTACTTAAAATAAGAGGGGAACGTCAGGCGCTACTGACTGCTTGTAATGGTATTGTTGTTACGGTACGGGCGTGAGAGTAATGGCGACCCGATAACCAGGATGTGATCTTGTCTGGCTATCACGCGACAAGGTTTTGTGTGTGTGTGTGTGTGTGTGTGTGTGTGTGTGTGTGTGTGTGTGTGTGTGTGTGTGTGTGTGTGATATACTTTGTTACAGCAGGATTAAAAATTGAAAAATGACATAACGTGTTACAACTTGATGAAACACATTACGTGATATTAAGTAATTTACCGTGATAAAACATATAAAATGATATATACGGGGATAACAACAACTTCCGGCTGAATATATAAGAGCAGAAAAAACGTAGTAATTATGTTTTGTAGTCTTATTAGTCTTCCTGTGTAAGCAAAAATACACATACTAACGACTATGCAAGGACACACAAACACACACACACACACACACACACACACACACACACACAGACACACACGATCATGTATGTGTATGTGTTTAGAATTAAAAAATGCATAAATCACTTACAAGCAGGAGACCAGTTGTGACAGCTTATGGACGACCAGTGGAGTTCTTACAATCTCTGGATCACTATTATGTGTTTGGACGACCTCTGGAGGACTCGGGGACAACCAATGCGGGTTTGGACGACCATTATATGATGAAACGACTTCCGGACGATCAGCGTGGGTTGGGATGACTTCTTGACGCTCAGTGTGAGTTGGAATGACCTCTGATCCACAACAGGGAATGGACGACCAGGTGGGCGGGCGCCAGGACCAGGACTGACCGAATTTATCCCCGCCCACCCTCCTCCCGGCATTGTTTCCGCCCACTCCCCCCACCCGGTTTTTACGAACCCCCTGAACCTCGCTTTGCCGCCCATTTCTACCCACTTTACACCCACTGTCGTCCAAACAACTACACCCAATCCATTTACGTCATAGCTGCCCATTTATACCATGAAACTACCTATTCATGCCCATATTCATCCCGCATCACCTACCCTCATCCACTCACCCACCCACCCACCCACCTGCACTATCTACATCCATACATCCTTTACCTATTCACTCCCATGTTCTGGTATCTCCCTCACCCACCCAACCTAGCCTACCAACTTTCATCAAATCCACCCCACCCACCCCAATTTGTCATTCACCCGCTCACAACCACACCCAGTCGCACCAATAACACCTCACCACCGCCCAATCCCGCCTACCGCCCACCTCTATGTCTGTGGTACGAGATATTGAACACATTACTTATTTATGTGTCCCAGGCTTCCCTCCCAATCATTACCCCCCCTCCCCCAGTCTGGTTGCCAGACAAACAAAGAGACGGCTAGCAGGTAATCACTCATAAAAGTTCGTGGGGGTCCGTGTGTGTGTGTGCGCGCCAGTCCAGTCCCCACCTCATTCTGGACGGCGAGTCTGTGTATAGCGATGTGACAACGCACACACGCACACACACGGCAGAACCGTGTCTTTTGGGTAATCAGGTCAGACAGGATTATGTTTGCCAATCAGTTATTATCGTTAGTCATAATCAGGTTGCACATTCAGTGTTGATATGAAGGTTAGAGCCCCTTCGATTTCTAAGCATTAATTAAGCAGCAGAGACGACGGTAGTGCAAGTCGAGGTGCATTCCAATCCGTTCGAAAATTTGCTTTGTATCCACATGAATAATATTGTAAACCGTTAAGAGTTCAACCCAGACAGTATCTACCATTAACGTAGTATAATATATCTTCTTCATATATTCTTCTATATATCCAACGCAAACCCATTCTGAATAATAGGTAATAAAACATTTAAAGTAGACGAAGACTCGAAACAATGAGCAGTGAAGCGGTTGGCTATCGTTGTAATAGAACAGTCCCGAGTATAAGGCAACAGTCTACTGGAGCAAACACACCAAGCCATTTATAGAAAGAAATCGGTCGAATTAAAAGAACGGAACTGTGAAAGTTTCGTATGTTTAACATATATAACATATCATTACCATCTTTATTAATACAAGGATTTTACCTAAATTAGTATCGCAGAACGGCAGTAAACACTTGACCCCTCTCGTCTATAGTCTTCACCTGGCAAAACCTCCCCTTTACCTCCCTCCTCCTCCACTCCGCCTCTGTCGTATTGCTTCGTCTTCACATATCGAAGCGTCTCATGGTTCAGGTAACAGAGGACTGTGGTCATATTGTCCATGACAATTTTAACCCTCATATGCTGTCACACATATGCAAATGTATAAACATTATATGAAATAGCACAATATTTGCATGGACAAATATTCCTGTCAAACAGGTCTGATTGAACACACACAGTTCCAACAGTTTCACCGTGTATGTTCGTGTATGCGTTGTCTCGTGCCCAGAGATTTGTCGTCCAGAAAGGGGTGGGGATGAGATTCACCCACACACACGGAGGCCCCCCATGAACATTTATGAGTGACTTCTATAGTATCTCAAAACAGTATCTGCCAGGGTGGGTCCGATGACTTCCGAAATGCCACATGCAACTCGAGATGTCCCTGGAGGGTTGGCATGCGTGGTTCTGTCGCATACTGATTCTACAGCATTTGGTAACCGAACATCATGTTAATTACACCGAAATAAATACACATTGCATTACTTATGTTAAAAGATACACCAAAATAAATGCCTGTCCCAATATCTATCATCCGTGGTCTCATATTGTTTCACACAGAGTATAGGCAGATACTTTTTGAGATACTATACATAGACAGACAGACACAGACAGGAGCAATGTGTGCAGTTAAACAGTTGCAATACTTTTAGGCTGTTCGGTGTGATTCATAATTTTTGTCGTAGTTAGGGATCGACTTGCAGTTTTTGTGGTGGATACACGGCATGGGAAAAGTAGTAGGTAGTAGGCAACTATCAAACAGGGAGGTAATAATACTAATACTAATAATAATGATAATAGTAATAATAATAATATTTAACGGCTTATTGAAAGAACATGGCAGCCGGAAGGCTGAAAATATACAGTTACATAATTGGGGAATGGATCTCTTGATTTATAATTAATATACAAGTAACATAAGTGATGCAAATATGATATATAATAACTAGGTGGGGAGAAACACAAACTACAGGGCATTTCAACAGTGACAGTGTAAAAAGTAAGATGGACTGGGAGTGAATACATTGGCTGATTACAAGTTATTCATAATTTTTACAATGGTTGAGATTGGGCTGTTCTTATAGCGTATGGGCTGGATGCGGTTGTGGTGTCGAACAGCAATTCCCGAACGAGTGATCTTGGGTGGTAGTAGGATTAGGTGTCGAGGATGGTTCATAAGCTTCTCACCAAATTTGCAGGTGAGGTCGTGCTGATGGTCAGAGAGAGCCGAGAGGGTCAGTGTGCTGAGCGCTTCTTGATATGTGGAGTAGGAAGGGGAGAGAATAATCTTGCAGGCCCTCTTTTGCACTTTTTCTAGGTGTTTACTTTGTATGGCATTTAGGGAGGAAGACCAGGTAGGGTAGGCATAGGTGAGCTTGGGAAGTATGAATGTTGAGTAAACACTAAGGAGCTCGGGCACAGGAACTCCGAGGGACTTGAGTCGGCGCAGGAGGTGGAGATGGAAACTGGAGGATTTGACAACTTCACTGACAAGTGATTTCCAATTTAGTTTGTTGTCTATGGTGACGCCGAGGAGTTTAGTGGAATCTACAACCTGGAGTGTGTTGGGACCTAAAGTAATGGAAGGGGGTGGGACAGCGTCGAAGGAGAGGTTGATGTGCATAACCATGGTCTTCGTATGGTTGATGGCGACGTGGTTGTTGGTGGCCCAATTTGGGACACTGTTCAATAAATCCTGAAGGACGGTATAGTCGGGAGCAGAATTGTTGACACTGATCCTAATGGTGGAGTCGTCGACATATTTCCAGCGAGCAGGGGTTTCTCTTAGGTTATCATTGATAAGCATAAGGAAGCATAGTGGTCCCATCTTGGTGCCTTGGGGGACGCCAAAGGTGAGTAACTGAAAGGTGGAGACAGCTCCTCGGAAGCGTACAGCTTGGCGTCGGTTACTGAGGAAGTCTGTAAGCCATGGTATAAGACTTCTTTGAAACCTGAGGTCGATAGCTTTTATGATGATTAAATTGTGGTTGACTAGGTCAAATGCCTTGGTGAAAGTCAAGGAAGGCGACAGCTACAAACGTTTTTCGTTTTTCCAGATGGCGGTATATGTAGTCGAGAAAGCTGACAAGACAGTGAGTGGTGGAGGAAGTTTTCATATTACCAAATTGCTGAGGATCTACGGCGCCTGCAATATCAGCATAAGCCCAGTCAAATACAAAACTTTCACAGATTAAGCTGGGTATTGGGGTGATTGCAATGGGTCGTAGCTGATTTAAGGATTGTGGGCTGGTTGACTTGGGCACTGGTGACACATATGAAGTCTTCCAGTCAGCTGGGCATCTGGCTTGACTGAGGGAAGCATTGATGATGGAGCAG